TATTTATTATATTTCTAAATTTCAACGTATATACGGCGCATCGCATTAAGGGTGAATGCATCGCGCTAAATTTATTAATGGTATGTAAATAAAGTTGGACCGCTCGGATTTCGAAAGCAGCGCGGAAAGGAGAGTCTGGGTAAAATGTAGCGATAAAATCGCGTGAAAGAGATAATGTCGAGCGATACCCTTGAGTGCTCATCCATTTAGCGGTCTGATTTCGACTGTCGGACGGCCGAGATTTACTACGGTTTAATCCACTTGTCGGCGAATTAAATCTATTGGCGCCAGATAAGATTGTGCGCCTCGTAGATCTTTTCATTTCTGTCGCCGCCGTAGAGAAAGAGGCGCGAAGGAAAATTTCCTTGACAAAGTCCCTTGCTGTCCCGAGGAAGTCCTATCCGATGTTGCGATATTATGAGTTTCAATGAGATGCGCATCTCGTCGGGGCGGGGCAGAAAGAGGGGATCTTTGTCTCTTTAGAAAAAAATATGCAGGGTTAGAAAACCAAATATATCTACAGAGACGACAAAAGAATTACGCGTATTCCTGCAAATTCCATCGAAAAAGAAAGTCGAGCCACCGGATCCTTCAAAAGCGGGTCAACAACGACGGGATCTTTCCGCGAGTAGCGAGTACAAATGGAGAAGTGGGATTGAGGGGGTGGAGGCCACCGGCGGGGTGACCTATTTCAATCAATAATCCCTTCTTCCAACACGAAGTGCGTTTTATACAACCGCCACTGAACGGCGAAAGTCAACTTCGTAATCCCTGAAAGAAGAGGCCGCCGCCGCCGCCGCCGCCGCTGCCACCGCCGTTGCCGAGCCTGTTCCGGATCGCCTCGGTAAATCTTCTTTCCTCCGGCGCATTCGAACGGAAATCCGCCCCGGCTCGAAAAGTGAGAAAGGTCCACTCGATAAAGCTCGCCGGGGACCGCAAGCCCGAGAGAGAAAGCTCGGGGCTCGCGCCCTCGGCAGCGTCGCTGTGTCACTCGACAAATCGGGCGACCCGGGGTGGCGGCTTAATTCGAGCACTCGCACTCGACTCGGTTACGGGATACAAGGACCGCCGTGTGTACACAAGACACAGCCATCGGCTCTCGTAAACGACCTTCGTTATCGCGCCGCTTCGTTATATCTTCGATTTTCCGCAACCTACTTTCGTGACGTTAACTCGACGTGCAGTTAAAACTTACGTCCGAGAAAATTCTCCGATGACTGTTGGAGTTAGAGAAATTTGGACATTTCAGCTCAGTCTAAAGGTGTTACGTTTTATATATAGCAATCAGGAGATAATATTAAGTAAAATTTATTTCATATTTGAATACAGAATTTTTCTCTCTCTCTCTCTCTCTCTCTCTCTCTCTCTCTCTCTCTCTCTCTCTCTTCTCCCTCTCTCTCTCTCTCTTCTCACTTGAATGAATGCGCGTATCAAATATTGAAATAAACTATTCATGCAGAATAGTTTATTTTTAGTTTTCAAACATTCACGATGGTTTCAACATTATTGACGTTACTTTTTAATGCTGCTGCATTAGTATATATTTTATGCTGTTAAACAGTGAAATAATTTTTGAAGCAGCACTGTTTTCAAGTAATACTTTTAAATAATTTAGAGAAAATATTTACGTGAAAAATATAAAATGACCGAGCACTTAACTTCCGACGTTTTATATTTTTTTTCAAATATTCAGGTCTTGTGTGAGCAACGAAAGGGTTAATATCGAACAACGCATATGAAAATTACTTTCTCGTCGTGTCTATCGATCGTGTCGGTCCAAATCTTATACATCGATCAAATTTATTTATGTCATCTAGTAATAATTCGCGAGCAGTTACAGTTGTCTGACGGTTTATCATATTTCCATGAGAAAGAAAACCGTTGCCCACGTTCCTCCAACCCTTCTTTTCGATCCTGAAACTTTCTCTCCATTGAAAGAAGCATGTTGACATTTTGTGAATTCCTTTCACATGACTGTAGAATTTTTCCGGATAATATTGAATAGCTTAATCTTACGGTTAATAAAACAACCGCGAGAATTTATTCTGACTAATTAAATATCATTGAATCAAAAATAATTAGTATTAAATAAATTTTGAATTGCACTCAGCAGTGCTCTTGCGTTTCCGGGTAAAAAAATAAAGATGTGCTCGCGCGACATTGGAATCCTGAAGAGATGAAAAGGGTTGAAGTTTTCTGATCCTTTCATCCGCAACCCCGAAGCGTCGCGACGTGCCGCACAATGCGCACCGTAATTACGTTACGTTAATTAATCCGTCGGTTTCTTTGCTCCCTTTTGGTCTGACCCCCGCGCCCCCCCTCCCTCTCCCCCTCCCCCTCCCGTTCTCGCGAGGCGAGCTCTTTTAATGCCGCAGAAAGTCCCGATGAAACGGAAATGAGTTACCTTACTTCCGTTTGCGGAAGATTTCACGGTGAATTTGCGAATCCCCGCGGCGCTTCGTTCCTTCGGCCAGACATTCGGCGCGATTCAGCACTCCTGTTCAATCTCCCGAGAAAGAGGACGGGTGGTTGAATAGCGCCGAGAAAAGAATCCACTATTTTCTCTGCCGTCGAATCTTCCGACGATTCGTGTTACTTGCGTGCGATTCCATCCACGGACGCGCAAAACCGGGTTTATCCGTCACGGCCTCCCCCGTCTTATGTATATTCGGTTAAGGTTACTCAAATAAAATCATTATGCAAACTCTCACTTTATTCAAGCGTCTCTCTTTCGTCTCGCTCGCGCATCAAATGAATTCGCTCGTTAAGGATCTGTTGACCGAACGCGATGGCAGTTTACGTGTATACATCGTGTTAAATGACACTAGTTAAAGTGAAACAAAACTTAACGAATACTTCTGGAAATTTTAATACAATCTTGGTTTCGGATTTCCATCGCGTCTACGTCGACAATCTCGAGGTCGAATAATGCAAAGTACGAGATCTATCATTTTTATTCAACTGCGAAAGCTAAGGTAATTTCGTCTTCGCTAAAACAAACTATTGTTTTCTAACTCCAATCCAAATTTCTCTAACGCTTTGCGCCACATAAATCTCACGTGTATGTAAAATGGAAATTTCTTCAATTTAATACAATCTTTGTTTCGGATCTCCGTGGCTTCTACGTCGATAATCTCAAGGTAGAATAATGCAAAGTGCGAGATTTATCATTTTTATTCAATTACGGAAGCTGACGTATTTTCGTCTTGGCTAAAAACTATGGTTTTCGAAGTCGAATCCAAATTTCTCTAACGCTTTACGCTACATAAATCTCACGTGCATGTAAAATGGGAGTTTCTTAATTATTTCGCGATGCGAAAGACTCGCCAACGTACATTGGTCATTTTTATTTATTTCCTTCGCTTCGCGGATACTCGTGCGGTAAATCAATCGGACGAGAAGTTCTTTTATCAATTCTTTTCATCTCGTGAGCATCTCTTTTCCCCGTATGCAGCTGCACCTCTTACTCGTACGGTAGCATCAAGTGCTTCTAACGGCAATAGCAGGGATTTTAATTTTGCAAGCACTCAGTATAACGTCGGACGAATTGCCGGCGTTACTGAAAATAACAGGGATTATCCGCGACGTACACCAGCCGTCATCTCCCATGACGATAACGATAATGCCCGGCCCCAACGCGCACTGCAAAGTATAATCTAATTATCTGCCCCCGACCTCGGTAGCGCGCTTTGCGCTACGTCGCGTAATGCGCAATTGCATCCAACGTATGGTGCACGTCGGCTGCATCTTCATTACGGCCGCGCATGCATTTATAGCCGCGCGACTCGTTTCCCCGCGTATCGTCGATTGCGCCATTTAAGTGTGTCGTATAAACGCGATGATAATACTGCGATTTCGAAATAGCGCCGATCATTTATTCCCACAACCCTCGCACTCCGTGCACTTACACGCGCTCGCGCTGAATCCGTAAAAGTATAATAAGACTTTTTATCGTTTTAATTACGTGATGATTTATCCTGATAGTTGTACACTTTTTAGTCCAGTTCTCACATTTGTGAGTCTATCGTTACACGTTATTCGCTAATTCAGCTACCCGAGCGAAGGCAACGTTACCGAGTTCTTTAAATGATATTTACCTCGTTATGAGAAAATTGACTCGTTCTGTCCTTAGTTTTTTTACGATCGAAAGTAACGCGTGTCCCATGGTACACTCGATGTAGCTACAATTATTGCATATTAAAACATATAATTATTTTAATAGCCCCACATTAACAGCCTCGATATAAAATTATATTTTAATAAGCTCGGGTGTGATTCCATTCGCCGATATACCTATCTTACATGTCTGATACACGCGAGCGTAAAGTGTCCCAACGCGTTTCGCGAAGGATTATAACGTGTCTCTCTTCTACATATCGCGCGATATTTAATTCATGGCTCTAAATCACAACCGCTGCTAGGCAATTTACGGAAATGGGACAGCTGTCGCGTGCAGCGACATAATTATTCCGACGTTGATGAAGTTTTCATTAATGGATTGTTGGTATTCATGGAAAAGTGTTCATTCGATCTCACGAATATAAAGCGGACATGCATAAGTCGATATCGTCGCGATACACCTGCAATCCCTAACGCAACGTAGGCGTTGCCGAAAATATAAAACTCTTCTAAAGTGACTAAAGCACAGCGCGATGATTTATAAAATGATAGCGATACGAGTAATCTAAAATTTGTAAACCTCGTATTGTAATTGAAAGAAAAAGCGACCGTTAGAATTTTAAGTAAGAACGGATCGCATTTCCGAAACCTGACGTCATCGATGACATCGATTGCTCGATAGAGCAAATAGAAGAAGAAAGTGTAACAATAACTAATTTTATAGTTGCGTCACAAATGAATGCTGGTACACAGATTTACTTTTTTGCACACGTGGCGCTATCAAACGTATGATTATATAGAGACGTATCAGTTTTCGTACTGATGGCTGATAACACAGATTACGATTTGGTTCTCAAAAAGCAGGAAAGAAAAATGCATTCTTTTACAAGTTAACGTAGTTTTATTTAGTTTACAATCCTTCAGAGCGACGTCTTCTCTCGTACGCATTGAAATGAATTCATTAGTGTCTCCTGTATCTATCGCAAATTGCGCAAGAGGTTTCTTTATCGACACTCGGAATCAGCGTACAGGTTCTTTCCCGTGGTGTGTACTCCTAAAATGTAATAACTCGCGGGAGTTGAAAAGTTCACAGTCGATTCGGTAATTCACTTAAGTGCCACATCAAATTGCAACGTGATGAATGCCGATTCGCTTGTAGGATATTACGCTCGACGATACGACCGATTATAAAGCCGCACACGCGTTGACGAGACAAGATAATTAAATCAATAGCCAGCCCGAGCAGGTTTATTGTCGTTGATAATTGACAAATTGCAATAGCAATGAGTGATTTCAGTGTCGGCAGTTTCGATACGTTTGTTACGTAATGCTGTTTGTTACATACATAATAGAAATATGTGTTATTCACACAAGATTATTGCATTGTTACTTATCGCGAAATAATTAGGATATCGATAAACCCACACGCATGCACTCTCTTTCTCTCTCTCTCCTCCCCCCTCTCTCTCTCGCTCTCGCTCTCTCGCTATCTTGTTTTCCTCTATTTTCGGAGATAAAGGTAAAGAATGCACATAATTTTCATATAGTCTTTTAATCTTATCAATTATTAATAATACAACATGGTAGTTTAATTCTTTTTTTAATTCTGCATATTAATCAATACGTGCGAGTACAGTATTTACACCATCGTACGGAATAGCGTGAGCTACGCTGATTAAAGATTATACAGATCACTAACGATAATTTATAAACTATCGACTGCTTCAAAAAAAAAGTACAAGTCCGAAATAGAAGCCAATTAAAACGCGCAGTTTGATGCAACGTGTGACATAAGCGTAACAAATTTGTGTCATCTTCATTGGATGGACTCGTAATTCATAAAATGCGCGCGACTAAAATTTGTAAGAGACTCCAGACGTCCTAAATTTCCAAATTAACGTAATTTTTCTGAAGCAGTCTCTATTAAGCGACAAGGTACATAAAATCACGTTTTTAGGTCGACGTTAATACGTTAATACTTACAAGTAAACGGGAATATTACTGTACGCCTTAGCTTCCTACGCTGTAAAAATAGCTGTACATTTTATAACGTTACTTTAACTCTATACAATCTAACGTAAAAATTTCGGCTGCGGATTCTTCACTTTTCTCGCGTAAAGCGAACATAAATAACTAACAGAATGTTTCGTAATGCCTCGATTCGCGCGTCGAAGACCGACAGATTTCCCGACTCAATCATAAAAAGTACCATAAAGTGTCGCCCCATCGTTAATTCTTCGGGAGTCGAATAATGATGCTGATTTGCATGGCTTAACGGCCACTCGTTACAGCCGATAACCGCGACGCTTCCAGTTTTACGACGTAATATAAATTCGATAGATGGCACATACAAATTTATGCGAGTGTCGAGGACCAATTGAACTCTACATATGGAATTCTACTTAACATTGCACTTCGCGTCTTGATTATTCGTAACTGTACAGAATCAGGTGATTTAGTCTTGTAAATCAAGGTCCACTCGATGCAGTAAATCCGGTTCTGAAAGGAGATTTGACAATTTAGGAATTGCACTGGCTGTATGCGAGTAGATGGTCGTTTCTCTTTGCGATATCTACCCTTTCGGTTTTCCTCGACGTAGAGACTCGTCCTTTGAGAACGCCTATTCTCGTTGGAGTATCTGATTTTCGGCTCGATTCTCTGGGCCGGAACGTAGGTCGGTGTGGTGAAATCGTCGGGGCCTTCTGCAACGGGAGTATTCGATCTTTTCCTGCAGATCGCCACGCCGATGATCACCCCGATACCGACGAGCACCAACGCTGCCGCACCTTTAAAGTTGCATTATGCATACAGAATAAATATGAAGTCTGTTATTAAATAACTAAAGAGACTAAATTAAAATGTTGCAACGTAATGGAAATCTGAAATCTTAAAAGTCATAAATACAACTTTTGCTTTGAAAGAAATAATATACGTTACCGCGTCTCTTGACGATTATAATATTAAATGTAAAATGTGTAGATATAATTGAGAAAAATTGCGCGAGAAACAATTTTTCGTTTTGATTTCGATTTGTTCGCGGCAAACTAGACCGTGGCTTGCCAAGTGATTAAGCGAAATTAGTGCATCGGGCGAAACTAAAAAGCCAGCAGCGTCGATTTTACCTGTACCTGTCAGTGCAATGGCAATGATCATGTTCTCGGAACTGGCTTGCGGTAGCGCCTTTTTCAGATCTTCCAAAAAGATCCCGCTCCTCTCCATCTTCCCGCCGATGGGTTCGACGACTCTGACGTGTTCCAGAAGAGCGGGTTCGCTCATGCCGCGTCCGTTGACCGCGTAAACATATACCGTATAGTCGTATCCCGGTTCAAGATCGTGAAGCTGGAAGTTCGGCGTTGAATTCATGTCTTGATATATGGGAGGCGCTTCCCCGACCGTCCCCTGGTCGCTCTGAGGTGTCTGAAGGGTGTGAGGGCCAATATGACCGATCCCGGAATTCTTGAGGGATCCCCGTACTTCCAGCAAAAAGTGCTGCGGTGACCCGCCGTCCGATCCCGGGATGCAATTAACCTCCAGCGAGCTAGTCTCGTTGTGCAGCGCACAGTCCAGTGGTGATTGCGGTGGTTCTGGGTGAGAAAATTATTGGCATTTAAATCCCAATGAAGATGGAACTCTCTTAGGCAGATCCTAAAAATTTGTGCTAAGCAATTTATATCTTAATTGTTCGAAAGTCTCAGTTTAGTTTGGAATAAGTTCCTTCGTTATAAACGCTAATGAAGACGCGAGAGACGACAACGTAATTAATGGTTGATAACCCACTAGCGGGTACGATGTTAAATATACAGGGTGTCCTTTGCCGTCCGATACTGTTGCTCGCCCAGCAAGCCAACGTGCCGTAATCGGCCTCGGCGTTCGGGGTGTACTCTAGCACGCTCACGAGTCCTTTATTTTCGACTCTCGAGTTCGGCATAGGTAGAACGTCGCCGACAGTGCCGTTGTAGGTCCATGAAAATCGCACATAATCGTCCGGCAACGCTTCCACCTCGCACGTGAGCAGTACTGTCTCGTGTCGAGCAACGGTGATGTCTCGTCTCTCGTTATCTTCTCTGCATCTCGGTGCGTCTGTCGAACATTCGGAATTGTTAGGAAAAATTATAAGAAAAGCGTGGGCGCAACAATTGTGCGCGAAATTTCGTGCAAAAGAAATTTCATACAAAAGTGACAAATCTGAAATAATACGCGATTATTCATTATTTTTGGTTTGCAAAAGTGTTCCAGCATATTTTAATATCTCTATCGCGATACTGTAATTGGAATAATCGATCAATTTTCCATCAAAGAGATGTTAAAAAATTAGGAAAACCTGACATGACTTGGTAATTTAGTTTGTCACAGACATTGCGTTTGAGACGCAAAGTACAGTTCATTTTGACGAAAGTAAAAAGAAATAGAGCCGCTACTCACATTTCATGTGAATAAAAAGCGGCGAGCTGTGGCTTTCTCCCACGGCGTTCGTGGCCACGCAGGAGTACTCGCCGATGTGTGCGAGTGCGAGCACGCGGAGAGTCAGCGAGTTAGAAGCCAGTAGAATTCCGGCGCCTACGTCGTGCTCCAACCGCTGATTCTACGGACAAGAACGCGAGGATTTGAGCAGCAGTCAATCATGTTGGATAACGAGTCCCTTTTTTCCTCCCTCTCTTTTTACTTACATCGTGGTACCAAGTCACTCGCGTCGGTGGCGGATTGCTCTGTACGTCGCAGACCAACTTGAGATCGTCGCCTTCCCTCAAAGTGTCCAAGACGTAGCCGTTAGCCAAACGCGCGACAACTACCGGAGCATCTGTTTGCAATTGTAGAGATTGCGTCGCTATTTATTAGAGTATTTGATTTCGCAATGAATATTGCGGCCTCGGTTAATGGAGGACTTAAATATACAAGACAGGATTATAAATATTAAATATAAAAAATAAGATAGACTCTTAGCTCTCTTATTTCGTCTGATTTGTCATTCGTCATAAAAGATAAGATTCACAAGAAATATATCTTATAAATATTAAAAAATTATGTAAGTGGCATATATAAAAAATATTGTCGGACACGTTTACATGTTTAATATTGCACGTGTTGTTTACTGAGAAGGCAAATTTGAAAGCTACGAGCATTGCGAGGTTGAAAACTCACAAGAGATGCGAAGCGTTTTGACTTCCTCGAGCACTCCTCCGGGAAATCTCGGATTTTCGGCTCGACAGACCAGTTCCTTGCCGTCGTCATCCTTGTTGAGGACCAAGGCCAGCTTGCTCACCGTTGAATTAGTCCTCTGCGTGGTGGACACGTTCGGATCGCCCATTACATGTTCACCGAGTCTCCAAATGATTCTAGCCGCTGGGGAGCTACCCCACGTCTCGCATTTGGCGGCGATCGGACGACCCGCGAAGATCTGTTCCTCGCTCAGAACGATCTTCACGATTGCTGGTTTAACTAAAATGCGACAGGAGTTAAAAGATTGCATTACACGAACAAGGTGATCAAGTTGTTCGAAAAGGCTCTCGCGTTTCTACATTATTTCGCGATTCTCCGTTATTTCTTCTGGATTGACTTTACATTTCTAATATAAGAAGACACGAAGGCAAACGGCGTGTGAAGGTCTAACGAGCAACATGCTTCGCTGTCAAAAATCTACATCTGCGGACGTAGGCACGACGGATGATCCCTGCGGGATGCAAAAAACTACGAGCGAGCCGAGAGTCTCGTCGTTGCGCCACGAAAATAACGGTCCCAGGGAGGGCCAGATGCCCGCCGCCCCGAACCGCGTATTTTTACTTTTGGACGACAATTCCGCGAAATACGACCGTCAAAGGAGTTAAGGAGGTCCGCGCGAAATGGTTGGAATTCATCTCGTTTCCGCCGCGGGTCAGTTGCTCGCAAACTATATTTAAACTTCTTTCTTCGCTATGACGTATTTCAGGGTGCAATAGAATTGCGAATCAGGTGAAATTAATAAAGAAAAAAAAACGTAGGTTAATGCGACAAAATAAAAATTCATGTTTATTTAATTGAAAAAATTTAGATATGTAAGTTTTATGTGATTAAGAGTAGCGTAATTGAAAGAAATAATTCATACATATTTAAATTATAGGTCAATAATTTGCTCTGCCTACTGTCTTAAAGCCATAGTGGATTATATGTGTGATCTATTAACGGCTTTTCAGTGATGATCCACTGATTGACTTCAACACTGAGAAAAGTCTTTGAAAACTTATTTGTGGCATATAATGTTTAGTTCACTGAAGAAATGTTTGAAACTGAAATTTCTGTGAAATAAACATTATATGCCACAAATAAATTTTCAAAGACTTTTTCTCAGTGCTGAAGTCAATCAGTGGATCATCACTGAAAAGCCGTTAATAGATCACCATATAATCCACTTTGACTTTAAGAGGGTAGGAAGAGCAAATTATTGATCTGTAATTTAAACATGTATGAATTATTTCTTTCAATTATGCTACTCTTAATCACATAAAACTTAAATAAAGAAATACAGAAAACTGAAGAAATGTTTGAAACTGAATTTCAGTGAAATAAACATTATATGCTACAAATAAAGTTTCAAAGACTTCTTTTCTCAATGAAGAGAGTATAATATCTTGAAATATAAGCTCGATGTTTAGATTCGGATGCCATCCTTCTCCGAGGATTGCAACAAGTGTTTTGCCCGCGTCGCTTGTAGATATATAGCGTGACGATTGTCCTGTTTAACTCGGCCTAAAAATAAATACGAGAGGAAGGCGTAGGGACGGAAGCGCAACGTGTCGATCGAATAAAACGCCAAGAGTGCCCTTTGACACGCGCCGCTTGAGGCCGTCTTTCAGCACGTGCTTAGGATCGAAGGAACGGCCTTGAAGAGTGCGCGTGCGTTTCTTCGATTTTATTTTAAGCAGATGTCACGTTAACGCGGCATTTATGATCCATTTCCTGGTAATGCCGCTCTTTGCATTTCATCGCTCCAAGTTAAAAAAAGCGTCGGAAGACCCGGTGCCGGTCTCGTCGATAGAGGCGTAATCGCCGAAAGATTTACGAGCTCGTGTAATCGAAGCTAGAAAACTGCTTGAAGATTTAGTTCACGAGCTACGTCCCGTCCTTGGAAATCTTCCTCAGATTAACTTTAATTTTCCGAAATTATAGTTTCGCTTTACGCAAAATGCGATACTTACGATATATGTCGAGGGGCACCTCGCGGACGATAGGTTTCTCCATCGGCCCGGATTGAGTCCTGCATTCGAGCTTAGCTCCCCACAGTGACTTGGTGACTTTGTCGATAAACAAGTGGTTCTCCGTAAATCTGCTCGACGATCCGATAGACGAAGTATCGACCACGCCGTCCAACAGTTCGCCGTCCTGCCACCACGTCACTGAGGGCTTAGGTTTACCTGCGAATCAATTATGCACGTGGCTTTCCTATCAATCGACTCTCAACACAATTTATACGAATACTGCAGGATTTAACAATATAGAACGACGACGATAACGTTTCGTGCACTAAGTAACAAAGAACGTTGATGGACGCAAGCGTGGATTGGCGACGAAACTTGGACAAATCGCGAATTACCTCCAGACACCTGGCATATCAGAGCAAGATTGTAACCCTCGAGAAAGGGACCGCCCACCCCCGTAACCTCTCGTCCTTGAGCATCGTATATCACAGGTTTACTTGGCTGCTCTGAAAGGGTCATGATGATGTAACGGATGTTTCGTCGCTCTCTTGGCACTCTTTGAAACGCGATAGTTACCAACTAAAGTCAAGTTCACGTGAAAGTTTCGCGTCGGCGAGTCCACGAAGTCCACTCTGCACCTGAAGACCCCCTGGTCTTTCAGCGTCACCTTCGTGACCTTTAATTTCGCCCGGTGGCCGTCGCCAGTCTGGAAGTACGTCCGCGTCCCCAGATCGTCGCTGACCGCCCAGTGGACGGCACCGACCAAGCCGTTCCTCGCGTCCAGACTGCGTAAAGGAACGAGTATGTCAAGCGATAGTATATTATGATATAAACTAGTAGAGGGGTGTACTTAAAGTCACCAGTGATGAATAAAATTGATATAAAACTTCTTGTTGATCCGACTGGCAATATCATTAATTAACGCGTTACAATTGGTACGACGTTTCGACCCAAGTATCAGGCCCTTATCAGGTAACCGAACTCGTGCATAGATGTTCGCAGAGCATAAATTATAGCAGACTCACAGGTCCTGCGTTGACAACGTCCTGTGAATCTGCTATAATTTATGCTCTGCGAACATCTATGCACGTGTTCGGTTACCTGATAAGGACCTGATACTTGGGTCGACACGTCGTAGCAATTGTAACACTTAATTAATTAATTATACAGTTGGATCAACAAGAAGTTTTATTTCAATTATAATATAACATATAATAATCTATATATAATGTTGTATATTATATTATAAGAATATATAATATAATTGTATGATATTACAAGAATAGTACACTAAAAAAAAATTTCGTTACCGTAGCTAATCATGATTTGCTAAAAATATTTTGCCGCCATAACTGAAAAGTTCTAAACCACAGCAAATGGTTTGCTGACGCACCTAATATAATAGGGACATTAGCCAAATATTAGTAGCTATCACAATGAAATATTAGCCGTCCATATTTTACAACTGAAAATTTAATTGCCACGTGCAGTGGTTTTTAACTACGGCAGCTACAGTTTTTTTTTCCGTGCAATTAACTAGATTGTGATTTCGGATACAACTATTTTTTTTAACGCGTATAGTTTGTACTCTCTCAAATTCAAATGAGGCAAATGAACAATTCTATTTAATAAACGACTTCGCGAGTAAAAATTTGAGCGTTGTCATATTAGTGCTACTTTTAAAATAGTCTAAGAAAACTCGGGAAGGGACGACGCGCTGTCAAATGTTACTTCTTCTTTTTGAAATGTTCTTCTCAGTTAATCAAGAGGATACTTTTAGTCTTGTTTTCCCAAGTAAAAATATTTCCTTCGGCACCGTTATTCAAGGAATGCTTCGTTCAAGTCGAGGCGCCATTGATTCAGTCAAAAGGAATTTTCTAAGTCAAGCTTCTCCATCGCGATCTTGAGCATTTCCGGTGCGGAAACTCGGAAACGCGGTAAACATCGCGCTTTCGCCAATTGGCGGCCGTCGGTGACTAAACTCGCGTGCATCGCGCGTCTATTCGCGGCCAGAAAAAAAAAAGGGACAGTTGGCAGACTCGCCACTCGCGGATTTAGATGCTCTTAGCTTTAGAGAGTATTGCGCAATGACGGGAACAGGAAATCGTTCCGGGGTGCACGGCGGAAAAACGAACGGCTGGGGCAAAGGAAAAAGGGATACCATTAAAGCTGTTTACCGCACGTCCGCGCAATTCGTTGATACGTGGTTCACGATGATCTTTGCCAAATACGCCGTCAAAGTCAACTTGGAAGCAAACCGAAGACGGGAAGTTCCATCTCGTGTAACTCGGATTATGTACCGTGAAATTGAGCAGAGCCATATCCTATCCGTTAAAACGAGAATATGACAGTTCCTTGAACGCACGAAATGTCCCCCGTTACGCGGAATTCGGAGGCATAAAACGCAAGAAGCAACCGGTAGACTAACCCTTGCTTAAATCACATGCGTTCGATGGACCAAGTCGCGATTCGACGGTGTCGATAAAGCCGTTAAGGTAGTTTCCCAACTATGCTAGTCAAAATGAGACTTGGTCAATAAAGTTCAACAGACAATGAATTCTTTTATATTAAATTCAAGAATAGAGTTTTATACGCTGTTGCTTCTCTTAGAATATTAAAAACTGATAAAATAATAAAGAGTTACAGAAAATGAAATAGTATTCTGAATTGCGTAGTGTTAGCAGAGCGTTGATCGTGGCAATATCGCATTTCATCGTGAATGCGATAAATTGTGAAAAGATATTAATAATCACAATGGAAAATCAGTTACGATATGAAGGGTGTTTTATAAAAAAGAAAGTGTTAGAGCAGAAGCGAAAACGCAAAGAACACTGAACCAAAAAAACAAAGAGAGTGGCATAAGATACGTTGCCACATCCGCCAAGCATTACCGCGCACGAAAAAGTTAGCCTAGCCAAATTTTTCTTTGGATTTATCATACTCTAATACCGTACTATCAGCGTCGTTGAAATTTTAACATGCACTTCTTTAAACATTCAACTACTTTGCTCGAATTTTTGTTTCAATCCTTATTATAGATTTTATGCTACTGGTCAAATACACGTCCAGGTGTCAGGTTTTCTACCGCAGCAGCCAATGGCGATAAGCGCGAAATGTTAAAAACAATTAATTCTAAGTGATTATATCTCGGAAAAATACTATATAGTAAATCAAACCCAAATTTTACACACATATGTATTAATATCTAAATTAGTTTTGCTGCAAGTTGAAAGAAAATCTGTAACTTCATCATTTTTTACCTAACTACCTTAAAAAGATTTTCGACTCATCCATCGTTTACGACAAATGACTTCGATATTAAGCGGAATTCTCTCGGTTCTATTTTCGCGTCGGAATAAAGGATTTGGATATTGCGAAATAAAACGTTTCGTCGCCGCATTCGAGGCGCCGCCGTAGCGCAAATCCCTTCCGACTCGGCGCAATTCGCTCTTCCTTTTTTCTGCCATTTCGCGACCATTTCAACGACTATCGGAAATGCGAATCCGCGGTGGAGTCTGCGAGAAACGCTTCACCAGCAGAAGGCGCAAATAACCAGAGACTGCTTTATCCATCCTCGCAACTCTTTCGCGCTTCCCTTTGACGCTCTACGAGCCCTTTTGCTTGTTGTAGAACTTCTATGAAGGTCCTTTGATATTACCCGGAAACTGCGCTCCCTTGTGCAAGCCTTATAACCATCGCGTTTCTGATAACCACTCGCTGACAGTTTCCTGCATCGTCCACATCGCACGATGCGCTTTCGCGTTGCATTTTTAGCTGCCCGTGTTTCCTCTTACTGTCTCGAGAATTTCAATGAGATTCGCATAAAACTTCCATCCCGAAGCGAGACACATCTACTTTTAATGTAGATTAATATAGCTCAGAATTTCTCATAATTTGGTTTTTTTTTAAATCTAATTATAATCTTTGACAACAATTTTTCTTTAATTTCTGATTGTAAAATTTTACTGAAAAATATGTTTCAGTAATATATAATATATAGATTAATGTGATATAATATGAGATAAAATGAGATTAAATCAACTTGTGTATTCATATAATATTTTAATTCTTTAGCAAACAAAACGCGGATGTAAAATTTGAAAAACAAATAATAATAAAATAATAAAACTTCGTAATAAAAATTCTTTCAGACACGCGACCTTTATACACGGTTCCATTTATTTTTCATAGACGAACGAATGGTATAGTTGATGAGGAAACATCTTGCTTTACGACCCCAGAGACCGTTTTCGTAAATAAGCGACGCTCTGTTTAATGCCCGTGTCAGCCGAAAAGGGTCTTCCATCGACTGCTATTCCTGAAGCTTCGGGTCTATGTTATGAAATTCCATCATCCCACACTTCCGATCGTGGAAATTCGGTCGAATTATTTATACAGTCCTGATCTAGCTTAACTTGAATTTCCTCATGTACGCACCAATGCGCAACGCATCCGTTTCTATAACCGTCCACGCGACGAGAATCTGAATAAAGTGGATGTAGCAGAATGATAAATAATAATTTTCCAAACTTCAAGTAAAAATCGTGTACGGAAATCTTGATTTGTAAAATAAAATTTATTTTGTTTTGGACTATATTAAAAATTGATATTATATAATATCAATTTTATATAAATTATATAATATCAATTTTTAATATATTCAGAAACAAAATAAATTTTATTAATTTTATTATTGATATTATATAATTTATATGATATTAATTAAAAAACTTTTATTTTATAATACAGATCGAGGTTTCTGTATATTATACGATTTTTACTTGGCGTTTTGAAAGTTATTGTATTATTCTGCAGAAACTTTATATTAATATTTTCAAAATACAAAAGCTATCTGGTCCTAATTATTTTAAACATTTTTCAAGCTCGTAATAATTAAAGCCGACTGTTAGTCTTTTTTTTATATAAACTTATTACTGAATTACTTAATTACTAGGCAATTTGCAGCATTGAAATATAGGTTCAGCTTAGTTACATCGACCATTAATGAGCCCGTGGTATTTATATGTCGCGGGCAGTGCACGTTGGAGGTGTCCATAATGAGAGTTCATGCTCGGGCCTAGACTCGTGCCGGGATATTTCGAGATGCGGCTTCAGAACAATGGCATCCCATCCCCCAATAACGCGGGCCTAGCCGGTATTCGGCAGAAAGTCAGCCACGTGAATCAGTTCTCGCGGGTCGGAAAACAGAAAATCGACAGTGGGAAGAATATTTTTAAGCTTTAAGACCGCGCGCTCAAATAAGAAAAAAAAACGGACGCTTCTACTGCGTTTTGAAATACATTTTGATCCGCGTATAAATTGTGCGGGGGCTTTCTACAGATCTCCGCGTCTCTCTCTTTTTTTCTAATTTTTGACTAGTGACTCGTAGCTTGGCTTGAGATTCGTGAAATTAATGGCGGCATCTTTCGCAGAGTTAAATTCAGATGGGTTGACGTCCTATCTTCGTGGCGTTAACGCCACGTAAAAATAGTCGGGTCGGGGTAGGATTATTTTTAAAGAGCACGACTCGCCTGTAGAGCGGTATCCCGACGTTGTCCTTGAACCAGAGAACCATGTTAACCGAATCCTCGGGCGTCGGCGGTGTGATGTCGCATGGCAGCTCCACATTGTCGCCTTCGGTTGCCCAGACTAATCTCACGGGCACTGAAAAGGGAAAAATTGCATACTTTCTAATAGCATACGCACTACATTTATCATATTTCTCTTTTTCCTCTGAAATTTCATCATAGTTTTAAGCCAACGGTACACGATACCATTTTGCCTACTGGATTGCTTACGAGAGCCAATCAGGATGCAGAGTTTTAGATCAGGTGACTTAAAGCTAAATCCCGATTGGCTCTCGCAAACAATCCAGCAAAATAGTATCGTGTGCCGCTGGCTTTAGTACTTGATTTTATGAGATTTAACCAAGAGATTTAGAAAGTAGGATACTGGAAGGCTCTGTCCGTTTAAAATTATGGTCAATAACCATCGCACATTGACCCGGTTAAAAGTCGTGATACAAATCTTTTCTGTGAAATATGATCGTACGTTTTTTTGCGATTATACCTACGACCAGCTGGCAGACAAATACATAAATCAGCGAATTATCGTAAAACGTTGGCAACAATCAGACTACAAGGAAGATAGTGTTTTAACGTTGCTTTCAAATTAATTAAACGTTTCATATTTGATAAATATAGGCACAGAATATCCGTGGCCTATAAATACGTAATATATAAATGTTACTTAACGTGCACGAATTTTCCCAACTTTTCCTTGCACGATAGTAATTTTGGGGCTTTCAAATTGATATATTTCAGCAAAGAAATTGAAAGTTAAATGCGGTTAAGAATCGCTCGTGTTTGCTGTCTTCGGGACGGAAGCTTCTTGACGCAACAATCGTTTCCCTCGCAACTCTGCCAGCTCATCGCGCTATTGTAACCGCGGACGGTGGACATCGGTTCGATGCACCATTGTCCATGATTTTACGTGCGGTCCTCGGCGCGCGCGATTTAAACTTAGATTCGCCACATCGTTATGAAGTACCGGTGCAGAAAATAGAAACGATATAGCATAAGCCGACTGGCCGGCCGGACGGCCGTCGCCGCACGTGCACGAGACGCACTGCTGTTAGTGCACACCGCGGAATGCCATTGATAACTCTCTCATTGTGAACGCATATATTCCAAGACGTCTTTTGTTAAAACTTTTATCGAGTGGCCAGTTTTTTTTTCTTCGGCAGAACTCAATGGACCTACTCCAAGATGGATTCAAAGATTTCGAACGTACGAACGGAAACATTTTTCTGTATATTGCACAGACCCCGCGGTAGGTTTAGGAGAGAAAGAACTGACGAGGAACAAAAGTCACATAAATCTGTAGGGCGTCATTTCATTAAGACCGAACCGGGTTTAGCAGAGAGGATGCATTTCTCCCGCGTGCACCAACATCGCGCACGTGGCCGCGCGAGTGTAACATTCTTTTTCTTCAGCAGAACTCAATGGACCTACTCCAAGATGGATTCAAAGATTTCGAACGTACGAACGGAAACATTTTTCTGTATATTGCACAGACCCCGCGGTAGGTTTAGGAGAGAAAGAACTAACGAGGAACAAAAGTCACATAAATCTGTAGGGCGTCATTTCATTAAGACCGAACCGGGTTTAGCAGAGAGGATGCATTTATCCCGTGTGCACAACATCGCGCACGTGGCCACGCGAGCGTAACGACGGTGCCGCTCGCGAGGAATCGCTTCATTAGTACGCCGCCTACATGTTTCATCACCCTCAACGAGCCTTTAAGAACCTGATGAGAGGGTTGCGACTAAGCGCCCTGTCGAGTTTTACGTCGGCGGTTAGGCACTCTTGCCGTACAATCAGCGGCGCGTTTGCACCTGTTGAAGCCACCCTAGGCGGAAGCTCGAAGCTTCAGATCGTTACGTAATTGTTAAATCGTTCGACCAATATTTTGTAACCTCTAGTTCTTTTATGCGTTCGCGTGCGAGCGAATTGCGAGCGAAGTATTAATAATCGGGGACATTTTTTTGCATACGTTCTTTGCTGCAACTTTTATTTTCACTTTTATCTTGTGCATGTGTCACGTCTATCGCTTGAAACTGGACGAGAATTCTTTAATAATGAACTGCAATGCAGCCCATCGTGTTCCATTATCACTTCAGTTTCTTTCTGGAACAAAAACCATTTTCTCTTCCGATTTCTCTCTCTTTATGGCACAAGTGTATATTTCTTTCATTTCAATCTCACAAAAAAAAACACAGGAGCTCGCGGTTAAAAAGTACAGATCTGTTGTTTTTAAAAGGTCGACTACTGCATGCACCTGTCTTCCACGCGAGAAAAAAATGAATGCGCAGTTCACGGACCCCAAAGTGGATCGCTGCGCACGTTCCTCTTGTTTTTTTCCCCCTCTCTCCTTTCTTTTTAATGTAAGAGATAGAGATACTTGCTTCCTCTCTTTGTCTGTTTTTTTCTTTCTTTCGGCTTCCAGGAGAGTCGATCTAAAGATCGAAAAAAAGGAACGCCCGCGCATCGGGTGGTTATGTAAATAATAGACGGCCGAGAGGGACAACTCTGCTATTTTTGTATCGTGTGTTCGTTGGGAAATCGTGCTTCCGGCGACTCGCGTCTATTTCCGTACAGGTCGTAGCCTGGCCTCTTTCCCTGCCCTTCCTTTCGCTCGATCCTGCATCTATCGTTCCGCGGATCGAATTCGCGGTCGTGCTCATGACAGGATGGAGTTCTTCTGCGCGCAACAAAAGATAATATTGGCTTTAAGGAAATAGCGTAACGAAAGAGCATGAGATTTACATAAAAAGAAACTCAGAGAGATATTTAAAATAAAAAGATTTTCGTGTCAAAAATGTAGATATTTAACAAATTAATAAAATCCGTATGGCTCAAATGTGATAAACACAAATTTGAAGGAATAAAGGACTAAGTATAAATGTTTTATTCTAAATTTATTGCGACACAATATCACCTCGGGTAGATATTTAAAATGAAAACTTAGATTTAAGTAAAAAATTGTACAAAAATAGGTCATGTCATAAATTATTATTTAGTAGTAATAGTATAATACTAGTAATGTTTTACTTATATTCAAAAGTTTTATGATAACTTGGAAGCAGGTTTTATATAGAGGAAAGTCCCCTATTGTGAAATAAGATCATAATACGGGATAGCGGGGTTTCTGTTAAATTAATAGGCATCAACAGTTAATTCCACCATAACTTTATTACTCTTGGAGCGACATCTGTTTAGTGGAAAGTTGATTGTGTAACGTAACGTGTAAATTTAACATAAATTAAAATTTTTAAATCTAAAATAAATCTGAAGTTAAAATTATCGAATTACTACAATGTAAAAGACATACCAATGATATTGATTAATTATAAATTTTCTCCTTGGGAAATATCTTTAATTTTAAAAAATCACTTAAACATTTAACTCGAACATTTATTAAAAAAAAGGAGAAAATCGTTAATTAATCAATATCGTTGGTATGTCTTTTACATTGTAGGAGTTCGATAATTTTAGCTACAGATTTATTTTAGATTTAAAAGTTTAAATTTACACGTACGTTACAATTGTTCGATCGTGTAATTGTTGCGAAAAAAGATTTGTGATTGAATTTGGGCGTTGAAAACCTGCTATCTAATATTAGAAGCCTATCTCATAATAGAGGACATTACACTACTACTACCACTACTAAATTCCTATGTTCATAGGTGAAAAGTTCACCCGAAATATAAAATGATCAATGACAGTAATAATAATGACCGATTCGAAAGCCTGATTTATCGAATTTAAATCGATGAAGGGTTATGAAAGAGTTACGAGAGCCGAAACGATTAGAAATTCCTGTTTGAGTAGGCAATATATCTCCCGATGCTCGGTAATTATTTATGCGAAGAGCATGTGGCCACCTACCTAAATTATCCGGATCTGTTTCAAAATAACGAGCCACACGCAACCCGACAATTATGTCGGTATTCTCGGTCGACCACCTTCTGTTCCTTTCGACCTCCCTGCGAGCTGTTCGTTTCAAGGGTCGCCCGAGGGATGGTAAAGGAGGGTACACCGGGACAGCTTTGACCACTTTGTATGATAATTTCACCAATGGTCTGACCCACGTATCCCGCGTGGTTCCCTCGTTACATTAGTCAAACCTGTTCCGCTTTCAAAAGGCAACCCTTCCTCCCACGTTCCACCTCGCTATTTTATCCTTCGACCCTTTTACCACCTTGAGTTTAAACATTGACGACGTAATGTTTCGCGATCGGTGTCGGGACGATAAGAGATTGCGATCTTTTACAAAATGCACGTATAACGCTTTAGCATTCCATTATAGCCCGAGTTCGTGAATAATTTCGTGGAATTAATCGGTCAATCTCGTTCATTTATCACATTGCGTCAATTTAAAAAGAAAAATTGTTGCAATTCCAGTTATATCTGTCCACCGAATAATCCGTTACAATCGCTGCCGATGCGAGATTGCTAATTATTTCAATAGTTGGATATTGGTCGTAGATTCAAGCTATTAACTATTTCAATGATATCGCACCGTACATATTTGATGTATCTGTATATTATCTCTATCTTCTATATAATTTTCGTGCATGTAATCAGCAATATACTTGTCCATTCGTAACGCGGGCGACATGTGTCATGCACAACAACACACGAGTTCAGGATCGGTAAGCGGCTGGACAAATGTCAAAACGCTCTGCAATTAATTACAACACGGACGTTGTTTGATGAATCAACGATTATTGGAATCAATAAAGACTGAGCTATAAATATTTAATAATAATACGGTGTATCATATTATAAAGTATTTGTAAAACGCAATTTATGCTAATTACGCTTTCAATTAAGCATTGAAAATGGCATATAATTATCGCGAATAACGCTCCGAAATATATGCACGAAGGTCCGTTTCCATTTAATGAAGAATTATCTTATTCTGCTTTATCATTTCTAACGTTTCCAACAATGCACTAATTAAAAGCATATATCAAGCATGTTGACCGTGTAATTCAGACTTAACATTTCGCGCAATTAAAATTATTCTATCCATTTGTCTTCTTGTATTTTTAGATATATATTGATATTCCAAATTGCCAAGTTTTTAAGCTTAATTAACTGTTTCATCAGATGTAATGTAAACGTTACTATTTTATCCTGTCAGGGTGTTTTTTCTCCGGAGCAAAATTTAAATAATTAAATATGAAACCTGCTCTCTCTTTTACACAGAAATTGCTCGTTGCGCTGCCTCGCGCGTCTTATGGATAAGATGCAAATTGCACTGTGCATCGGGAGATTAGCATGCGTATATCGAGAGAGCTGTTGAGATGCAACGATGCAAGGGTGATCTCCCAAACGCGAAAAGCACGCTGCAGTGGTTTATGTGTTTTCATTTCGCAGAAAGTGTTGCTTTCGCAACGGGCAGTTCCGCGTGACTTTTATCGTTAGACAAACACGTGAAGACTCTTGTGATACCTACATGAGCGGGATGACAAATAGCGAGATTTCGCAATCTTTCATACAGACAAACGATCGAATGGTATTGCAAAACTATCGTGTAACTCATCATCGAACTCTTACGTGTTTCTCTGTACATTTTTTGGCGAAATGGCGCATTTTTCATATCTCTCGCTGCCGCGATAAACGGCATCTCGAAATTTATGAATACATCATGTCTGTTGGCAACGTTGATTCGCGATGATTCCCTTAGTCATATATGAGTGGTCACAGTTTACAGTGACAGAGCCAAAGGTTCGAAAGTGTCTTTCCACTTGCTGAAAATAAGTCGCGCAAATTTTTTCGTCGCGAAATTAAAACAATCCGAGTTTCTAGCGATCGCGCGGCATCCGAGAGGAACCGTCGACGAAAATATCCACTCGCTAGTACGCGCTTATGACGTTTCCTATTTTCGATAGAATGTTTTCCACGTGGCGGAATCCTACCACGCGCGTTATCTCATCGCGGATATAATTCGCGAGTAGATAAACCGCGCGCGGTTGCTTTATTTCAACGGTCGCGCTATCACTGTGTTGCTCATTATCTTGACATGCTGCGATTTGATTATTTTTTTCTTTGTATTAGTAAAGTCCCCTATTATGAGACAAGTTCCTAGTATGAGATAGCGCGGTTTCTGTTAAATTAACAAGCATCATCTGTTGGTTCCATGAATTTATTGCTCTTGAAGTGAAATCTGTTTAGTGGAAAATTCATTGAATTTGAACGTTGAAAACTTGCTATCTCAAAGTAGAAGCCTATCTCATAATAGGCAACGTTCCTCTATATCTTCACGTATAGTTAATGTCAGTCGACGTAACTGGTTTATTATTTTGAATTGACATTTTCCTCGATGTCTCCCTCGCGTTTAATTGATGAAGACAATAATATTTAAAGAAAAAACACTAAAAAGACTGCTACGTCATTTCGCGTTTATTGCTAATAAAATTTCTGTATCATTAAATTATCACGCGATTGTAAAACAACCACAAGAATCGCCGAGACGCTGACCGACAAATGTTACTCGCCGTGTCGTGATCATAAAAATCCACGAATTTAATTTCACTTGTTACACGTTTTACAACGAAGATGTCCCTTCCGGATTCTGCGTGATATTCTTTTTTTTTTCACGGCTGTTCCGCGATTTTCCGAGTGTCCGCGACGCGGAGACTAATAACGTAATTACTCTGGCACGCTAGCGAACGTCGGCCAGTCTCGCCAGATTAAACTGGCGACGTCTATTTCAGGTTGTTTCCATTTTTGTCTACCTGTCCACCGTCGTGGCACCAGCTATTACCGTACTCGCCAGATTCTTCCTCGCGTCACGATTAATTAAATTGTTCGTACGTGTAGGTTCCTCGCGCGACAGTGAGGGCAACGTTTTCTGCTTCCTCCCTTACGCGAATTGAGATATCGTATCATCGTATGATATGAACAGGAAACGCCGTGTCATATGGGACTGTTCGTGATGCGCTAGAGATTGATCTACACTGGCGGTGCCTTGATTGAATTTTACGAACGCCAAAACGTCAGTGGGTCCGCATGCGGGCCTACGGGTTTATTTTAAATTCTTCCGGTTGGTTTCGATAATTAAAAAGTACCAAGGCACCTCACGAGTTCGGTCGACACGACTCGGAATAATCGGTGGTCTCTTACTCAATATCTTCTTTTTTATCTGTTACTTATCTCGCACATTTATTCTTTTTTCTTATCTGACGTTTTATTTTAAGCACAAATTATTAATTATTCTTATATTATTATTATGTGAACCAACCGTTGAAGTAGTACACAAAATTCTTATACTGACTTATTAATTCTATCTTTCTCTCAATGCATAAAATGTAACAGTATCGAAATATGTAATTGGAAATGATCTCAATATCGAAGAGAATTTACCAAAAGACATATAGTTCCAGCCGCGCGTGGCGTTGGCGCAAAGTTTATCGGTTAGCGTGTAAACGTAAATGTAAACTTGGGTGCGCGCGTTGAACTTCAAGCGAGTACCACGTTAATAGCCTCGTTGACGGATTTGACCTGTTAATTAGATGTCAATCTTCCGACAGTTTCGGGCAACGGGGACTAGGGCGCTTGCATACCTTCGTCTTGTACCGAAGATGGTGGTTGACGGACGAGAATAGACGCGAGGTGCGCAGGGTATCTCAAGCGCCCCGCTGACTTTCGGCGTAATTCGGGAAACGAATTTAGCGGTGGAAAAAAACACCCGGGGTCGGGGAAAAAACTTCAGATGGCATTTCGAGACGAGGAAATCCCTGGCGCGTACCTTTGTTCTGAAATTCTAACGTCTCCTCCGCAGCCGCGCCCATTCGGCGAGTCCTTAGCACCATCAGCAAGCTCGTCAGAAACACGTATCCCGACGCGCAGCGCATGTTCGTCTTGTATCGAGGCTCAGGTGTCGCGATGGCTGCACTCAACACGTCGGATCCGCTCTCCGGTCGCGGGGAGCAACATTCGATCTCGATCGATCGAACCGAGTTGCCGGAAACGAGCGCGGAATTGATTCAGCGGCAGTCCTTCTCGCGCGGCAGGCGTGGATCCGAGAACAATTTCGACCGCGCCGCTTCCACGATCGATCGCGACCACTCGAAGGACTCGGAAAATCCAGGCATTCTCGACGTCCTCGCGATTTGATCGTCCTAAACGCACTCGTGCAACGTTGCGCTGGTCCTTTGCGTTATATTAATAACCAATATTTAATGTAACAATAAGTAATAATAGCTTCTATTTGGTTTGTAGTCACCACACGGTCTATGATCCCTGAATTACAATTTTTGTCGCACTTGAATGTAGCCACCAGAATTGTAAGAAGTCCCCGTGTATTCTCTGCGCCCTCTCGAAGCTGCGGGCATTCGATTCGCACGAAAAACTTTTGGGTTGCTCTCCCTGCTTAAAATTTCCAATCTTCCGCAAACATATTTGCATTCGACGGCAGTTGAATAATATTCATTCATTTATTCAAGGGTGGGCCCTTACTCTTTGTCAGTCCCATTCAGTCGGGAGTACAAAAAGCACAGGCGCCAGCGACACAATTCACGATCTCCCGGTCCTCCGACGAGTCCTTTCACGCGCCCACCCTTCCTCCTCCCCTCGCTCGTTATTAAAGCCGGACGCGTGTCTCGAAATCTTTTGATTAACAAAACCAGTCGGCGTTTTTCCTCCGCTTCCTTTGTGCCCCCTTCTTTCCGCCACGCTCGTTTCTTCCCGTTGAAACTCTCGCGTCACGGCATTCGACCTGGCCGCCGTCCTCTTCGTCCGCTTTGACGTCCGTACGCGCTTCTTCCTCCTTCTTCGCCGCCCTCTCGTGGAATTTCAACTTTGATCCCTCTCGGGCGCGTGCCTTTTGCGCGCCGCTTTTTACCACCGACACCCCCCTCGCTTCGCTTCTGACGTTATTCTTGGTAGGTGGTCCTCCTTTTGCGCGCCGCGCGGTTTAATTTAGAGACGGCGATCAGGTGGCACTGTCGCGCGTCACTTTCACGCTTCTTCAGCAACTTTAATAATTATCGTATCCCGTCTCACTGCCGACATCTTCAACTTTTACCGCCACGAGAATTGGAATACCTTCGTAATATACTCGATAGATATTGACAAAGCCACTCGCGAACCAGATCAATCGAGAATGAGATTAGAAGAGGAGGGGCTCTTGAAGGGGATGATTGGCCAAGCAATTAACCCTTCGGCCTTGGCGAGGGAAAATTAATTTTATTTAGCACGCGAAGCTCCACAACGGCACTCGCGACGACAACTCGTAGTGTCGATACTTGCGCAATAACGCTCGAGGGGAAAGTACTCGCGGTCTATCGGACGGTACCGCAACACTCGCGAGGCTCTGGATGCGGGAGGAGATTTAAGTCTCGCATCGCGCACAGAACCGCGTAAATTCTATTCGAGTAGCACGTGTGCTGCCCCGGCGTGAATAAATCTTTATCTCTCGGGATAATCCTCCGCGCACACGGGGGTGCAATCGGCGACACCGGAGACACTGACGTACTCTCGGATTTAGTTTCAGCCGCACTTGCAGCTGGTACCTGTAAGTTGCGGGCGATCGTTCACTCGCCCGCGCGCGCGCGCGCGATTTAATCCCGGGGGGAAACGGTGCCCGGCGTGATAAGACGCGTCGCGTTCTCGCGCCGGCGAGATCGGTACCGCTCGGGCGCGGATCGTCGTCGTTACGATCGTGCGATCGTCGTCGTCGTCGTCGTCGTCGGCAGCGACTGCCACGAAACTAAAACCAAAACCGAAGACACGCGTTTAGTTCCCCCTACCCGGGGCACCCTCGCCCTTCTCGCCGCGCGACACACGCACTAATACTCCACTTCACGCACGCACGGCCTGAAACGCGGGCACGCACCTACACGCGTAGAGCCCGCACACGCGCGCCTTCGGCGCGAGCACCACGCGGCGGCTACGGGGCACACACGAGCGGAATTGCGCACTCACACACGCCGGCCCCGGTGCATAGGTGCATCTGCGCGGACGTGGGAGTAATGCTAAATAAGAGGCTAAGTAACGCATGCAAATGCCGCAATGAGTAATACCTTTTGTAAAGTGAGGACGTAAAACGAGGCATTTGTCTGTGTTACGTGATGGCTGTAAATTTTATTGCTTTTCGTGAAGCGTACTGCACATTTTTATCAGCCTCAATGCCTTGTTATGGACCGGCCTGTCTGAAAATCGCGATAGAACGGCAAATTTTATATTTTATATGACTCGCGTGTCGCGTATTCTGATATATATGTATATATAATTTGAATAAAAGTATATATACAAACGTTACACAGATAATACATATTTTATATTATGAATGCGTGTGTAGATACATTTTTGCACTGACAAAAAATTTTTTAGAACCAAGTAGATTTACTTAAAGTTATTCTTTTCTTTACTAAAGTAAATATTTACTCTATTTAAATAAAAATATCAAATTTCAAGTAAGCCTGTGTATTATATTAAGTAAATTAATTTACGTTACATTCTCTACATTCAACTAAAGATTTCATGAGATAGAGAATACTATTTATTAAATGAAATCATTGTTTTTGTCAAATAAGAAATTCAATTTTCTTCGCTGTAAAACTTATATTAAAGTAAAATTTGTTTTATTTAAAATTTTCTACTGTTTGATATTTAATAAGTACTTAAATTAAAGAAATGCATGCTTTAATTTGTTTATTATTTTTTAATTTAAGTTAATAAGCTATTAGGAGCCATTTAATGAACAATTTTCTTGAGTAAAGCACAATAATATTTTGCTGGATCTGGATATTTTTTTATCAGTGTATAAAAGATGTAAAGATTTGTTATGCAAAAAGTAAAATGAACTTCAAAGATGTAACGAGTAAAATATTTTTATCTCAATTTTTTATTATATCACGTTACAATATTATTTTTTCCGTCGTGTTATACGAATCCGTGTTATACGAGTCCGTGTTATATGAATCCGTGTTACATAGAGATCTACCGTATGTATGCATACATTTTGCATATTCCAATTTTCTCAAATACTTCCTACATTACGCATCGCAGATAAAATTACAAGTAGAATTCCATTGCGTTTAATCGCAAGTTATTGTCGTCCGCGGCGAATTCTAGGGGCGCGCTCTGTTACAAGCTCTATTTTCTATTTTCATACACAGTGTACTGTTCCTTAAAAAGAATCTTGCATAGTTTTGAGAAGGATTTTCTTCTGTAAATAACACACACGATGTGTAGCAGAAATAGAAACAACCATTTTATTTGAGGTGTCCATTTTCCAGGAGAGACTGGCGGTACATAATATAGATTTCACCTGCAGCTATATATCAAATTCCGCCGAGTTACTCCAGATCAATTAGTGAATTCCGCGTAATTCCGCCGGGCCTGAATTTCAATGCTGCAGACAATAGAAAACGATCTACGTGGTTTGGCGACGATTGCGCTAGACAGTCGGCGCGAAACGTATGTTTACTGTCTCCGTAGGCCATACATAGCCGCGGTATCGCGAATTGAATCACGCCGAAATTCTACCGGTAACACAATCCCCAGTTGCGAAAGTACGCTATATCGAATACCGCGTGTGCGCTCGTGCGTGCGCACGCACGCACGCACGCACGCACACGCGCGCGTGTTCCGCTCCGCCGCGCGTCTCCGTCCTGATCCTTCCGCCACGGAAAGGCAGCCCCGAGTGCCGAGTCTGGTGCGCTGGAAATGAATGTACCAGGGGTGGGTTTCTGGCGTGTCATCGTACGGACGATTACGCGATGCTGCCGGCCGTTCGGAGGGGCTGGAAGCGCGGCTACAGCGATCTCGAGCTGGCCGAGGGTGGAGCGGAGACCGTTGGAGCGGGCGGAGGGTCAGGAATGCCCTCTGAAAGGATCGGGGGCGTTTTTCGGAGCGTCGCCACGTATGTCGACCGCGACGCACCGAGTTCTCCTTGTTTGCCGAAGGGCCCCATTGTCGCCGCCCGGGGCAGTTTCACGCGTGCCACCGATTTCCTGCCTGTCACGCGCGTTCACCGGTGGAACGCTCGCGCGTTCCCCGGCTTGCTTTTGTAGCGGGAAAAAGCATTCTGAGATCCTCCGTCGCAGGATCGGGCCCGGTGTTTGCTCTCCGGGGGAGCGACTTTCGAAAACAAGATTCTCGATTCGAACGGGCGGGGAAACCGGCCTTTCGATCGCGCGAGCGTACATTCCCCAGTCTCGCGGGGTGTCAATAAACATATTTTCCGTCGGTTAAAAATATTCCACGCGCTCTGCCAGGATCGGGGGGTCTGAAATGTTTGCTCGCTGAATACGAATTCTCGTAAATAAAATTCCTGAATAGACAGCAAATTACGACCAGCTGTCAATTAGGCGTCAATTAGGCGCCCATAGATTTTATAATTACATCTCCTTTTTTCCAAAATCCGAAATTACACGCCGCGATGTTTACTAGACTGTTTATTGGAAGCTACCTATTACTCTCTTTGAGCGCGCCGCGTTCTCTACTGGAGTGCCGCAAGTTCCTGTTTGTCGCCCTTATACTTTGCTCCTGCAGCTCGAAAACATCCCGCGCGTTCTCTCAGAGCGAATTTTATGTTTACTCCGATCGCGGTTTCTACATACTTAAAACAAGAGACAAATCCTTAATTTCAATTTCCAACCACTCTCCAAGTGCGCCGCCCACGAATGCGTATCCAAACTTAGCAAACGCATCTCGCGGCCTGGAGAGAAAGAGAGAGAGAGAGAGAGGGAGACTATTATTATTACTACTAACGCGCTCCCGTCGCTATTATTGCGACTACCATTACTCACCGCGGCTTAGGCTCATTAGGCGAATTTGCTAGGCGCATTTGCGTCGCCGAGTTTTGCCAGGCAGAAACCCGGCCGCGAGAAACGAGAGAGAGATTTTCGCGTTGTCCCTATAGCGCCTCCCGCTTCTCGCGCGAGCATTTGCGCGCTCGTTTCCGCCAAGCGTAAACTTCCTATAAATAAAATGCACGGCTTCTCCGTCGCGCTTCCGTTCGAATTTCGTCGCTGAGAAACAAGTAGCAGCGGCACGCAGGGCCGCACGAGTTTTACGGCGCGCGCGCGCGCGCGCCGTAAAACTTTCTAGCCTTGGCGCCTCGGTTCGCAGCCTCTCTATTTCGGGATTTCCCCGTCGCCGTTGGCGTTCGAGCTCTCCCTCGCTGGATCCTGTGTGTGCACAGCGACCCCCCCCTCCCTCTCTCTCTCTCTCGCTCTCTCTCTTTTCGTGCGACCGGCGTACGCACCCGCGTAAATACGCGCGACGTAGCACGGGAGGAGCACTTTTCACCGGCCGGCCTGCCTGCCCCTGGCTCAATGCCCCCGTAAGTGATCACCCGGAAAAGTGCTGCAAATTGCGTAATGCCGGCGTACAGTGTGTCGTTAATGAAAACGGCAGCGATGTTAATATATCGGAAACAACAGGCTGCTAGGTGCACTCTGTTTCGGCGGGAAAACTGGAGGTTTGGAGAAGAGAAGAGTGAAACTCGGATATTCTCAGAATTGGAATCGGAGTTTTGAAACATTTTTTTCAGGTGGTTTGAACGTAATTTGCAAATTGCGTAATGCCGGCGCACAGTGTGTCGTTAATGAAAATGGCGGCGATATTAATATTGTATATCGGAAACAACAGGCGCTGCTATATACACTTCATTTCAGTGGGAAAATTGGAGAAGAGAAGAGCGAAACTCAGATATTCTCATAATTGGAATCGGAGTTTCGAGACACTTTTTTTTGTAATTTTAAGGTATTTTGACCTACATAATTATCGCAATTATGTAGATTCGGGAAATTGCTGGTGGCGTTGATGAAGCGATATTTTCATATATTTTCGAGTTACCGCTGCAACCTTCGCGGAGAGCGGCTAAATAAATGTCTAAAATAACAGCGGTAATTTGTTGCAGAAGGGCAAATATTTGTGCTATTAATTCAATGAACGGAAAGGTTGTTTCGCTGCCGCGCGCGGCGTAAATGGTGGGTCTTACTTTGACGGTAATTTTAACATTATTTTTCATCGGGCCGCAGTTTATTTAGCCGAACAAATCTCTCTTTCTCGCACCACCATCCGATTTGTTTATACGCAGATGAAGTGAACACGCGCGATGCGTAGTGGACGCGCGAGCATCCACTCTGGAGGGCTCTCGAGACTCTTATCCGCAGCTCTCGTGCACTTATGTGCCTTAACAAATAATCACTTTCGTCGAGAAACTGATTATTTGGTTTTCGCTCATTCGTAAAAAGCCTGTTATTCGATAGTGAACAAATGCGCGCTGTTCGAAAAACGACGCGGGAATGAAATACGCTCTCGTAAAAACCAGATAACGACGACAGCCAAATTAGTGGTGCACGATTTTATTTGGTACATCCAGAAATTCACAAAACACGCGAGATTCGAGAATATCGCGATTGATACATTTTAATTATCAATAGTGTTCCAACCTCTTGGTGCACTAATAGTTAAATCACAGTCTTCGATTTTCCTTTAAATTAGACAAAAATAGACGTATTTCGTTATTAGTTGACGTACCAAGAGGTTGAAACAATTACCGGCGCTAAATACATACGAGTCACAGTTTAATACAGTCCTCGAATATGAGATAGGATTCTAATGTGAGATAGCAGGTTTTCAACGTTCAAAATCAACGCAAATCTTTTTTCCCAACGATTACACGATCTTACGATCAATTTTTCTCTAAACA